AACAATTTGAACCCATGCCAGTACCACCCAGCAGTTCACTGAACTCTTTTCAGACTTGTTAAGGAATGGGTTGCCACTCTACATTCTTCTATTGCTTACATGGAGCTCTGTCCTTTCATTTGGCTGCACACTTAAGAGGAAGAAATAACAAGAAATACATTATTTACTTAAGTTTTACAGTAGAGCCTTGCAGCAAAAGTTTGCCTGTATGGATATGATGTACTGACTCACAATCAGCATCTCCAAGTGATGCATGATAAATTCAGCTGGTAACCATAGAGATTAGTCTGGCTTGAGCTTCTGAGTTATAAACAATCTTGTTTATGTTTATCTTAGAATGAAGCTCGGTGAACAGTGTGTTTTTTCTTATTTTGGTATGTGTGTAATGGTATCATAGAAAATGTTATGGGTCCTCTGACTTAGCATGGGTTCCTCAACTTATCAGGAGACCTTATACATAAATAAGTATTGTTTTAGGTTTTTAGTTACTTGCTTGTAGCAAGAATTGTTTTGAAATAAAACTAAAGGCATGGAAGCTATATGAAAATTTGGGTGCTGCTTTTTAACATAAGCTACAAATAACTGATGTGCCATTTGTTAGTCTACTAGTAGTACAATAGTTGTGTTTACCATATATAGCTTCTCACTCTAGATCAGGCATGGGCAAACTTTGGCCCTCCAGGTGTTTTGGACCTCAACTCCCACAAATCCTTACATGTACCGAACATTGGATCCAAATCTAATGCCAAAATTGGAGGAACCTTGGAGGAAAGTTGGCTACGTTGCAATGAGCTGTGTGAAATCTTCTGCAGAAGCTTTATAGTTAGGACATTCTATTTAATGCTACCATTTGTTCACTTATAGATTCACTTTAGGTCCTAAACTTTTGGGGTTCTGTCTGTAATATCCTAATGGTCATTTTCCTCCTTTATTTCTCATCATGATGAGTGTTTATGAAATTATATTTTTTGGTTACTTGTTTTTCACCAGCAGAACGGTCTGGTTCAAGCAAGAGGAAAAGGTCAAGTAAAACGATGTGATATTTCAGATCGAACTCCTAAATCATTTAGAGCACTGCTTATTAAATGGTGGGTCCTGCCCCCAAATGGTGCCCTTAGGTCAACTTTAAAAGTTTGCTGAAGGTCACCTAAAAATGTACACAAATCTGGTAGCAACAACATACAGAATTTACAGTGGACTCTGCAGAAAATGCTTTAGCTGTACTTCATAAGAAGGAAAATAAGCCTGTTTAGCTAGCCTAGCAAATGCTAATTTATTTTCAGCATATGTTTGATATTTATACCTATTATATATATATATATATATATATATATATATATATATATATATATAAGTCCTGAACAAAGATATGACATTTGTAGGTCAAGATACTATACACTTTTAGTTGTGTGTGAACATATATCATTGTAGTTAAACTGGATCTCTCTCCATTGCACAAGTTGTGCAAAAGATGCAGAATCCTTGAGCTCACCTGTTAAATAGCTCTCAACCACTTTGAGAGAGTTGTGTGATCTGGTGGGAGAGGAAGAGGCCAACGTATCTTCTTCAGCCAACCCAACTGTACATGTCTAAATATGGATTCAGCTCAAAGCCTACATTGTTTTCTGTTCAAGTGAAGAAGAAAGGAAACATTAAAAATCCAACCCATTCTCTTTCAAACCCCAGCAAGCTGCTACCATGAAAGTGTTATATTTTGAACCATATAACTCTCTGTTTCTGCTATTCTGGCTGAGGGTTTAGGGTGGGAGGTCAGTCCAGAAAAGTAAATTTCTAACCTCTGCATCAGGGTAAACTGGCTGAGAGTGCCAAATAGGTGCATCAACAGCACATTGTCATGGCTGAAGTTTGAATTGTTAAGTGGCTCAATGTGGGATCTGAAATACCTTATGTTCTGAAAAGGCCTCCCACAGTCACAATTCAGAGTGGAGTAGAATATTCTTCCTGGTCCTTTGTTTATGTTCTCGAATTGTACTCAGGATTAATCTGCATAATGTAGTTTAAAAACCATGCCAGGAAAATTAAAGCTCAACATCTTCCTTTCATATTGGAGCCAGCATAGCATATATAGTATCTTTGCTGTTCCACCCAGAATCACATGTGGCAATCCTCATGTGTGTTGTATGAGGAGGATTACTTGGCGCTTTGCTCTGCCCTGTTTTTAGACCACAGATTTTTCACACACTGATTGTAAGGCTAGATTAAATTGATAACAAGTACTATTCACTCGTCTCCTGGTTAAGGTATGTATACATAAAACTGTTGAGTATTTACTACCAATCTTGCTTTTTTACTTACTTACTCCCAATCATTATGTCATCAATCATGTTACCATGCAAGGTACTTTTCAGGACCAATTAAATATAGATAGTTAATGTGCTATCTATTTTTCCCCAATATGCTTTTGCTAGTTTAGCAAACTGTTAGAATTTAGGGAGAACCTTGTGACATCTTACATAGCTATGGCTCTTTGGTTCCACTCTTAACTCTTAGGACCTGATACTATGAATCCTGGGATTTGTAGTTTGGTCAGAAATTGGAGTTTTGTGCTAGTGAACACAATGTTGGCATTCAGAAGTGGACCTCAGAAAGCATTGCAAATACATCAAAAATTACAAATCCTATGATCCCAGGAGCAGTTATGACAGTTGAAGTGATATCAAGCATCTGTGTGTAATATAAATATAGTCTTAGGTAGCCATTCTTACAGTGGATTCAGGTTTTCTATTGCATGTACTGCATGAACTATGGGTGTTGAATAATTCCCAAACAGCAACCTGGTATTGATTTCAGTAAAGGCCTTTACAGTTCCCTTGGTTCACAGGACTATATTAAAAATGATAATACTGACTGTGACATTCTCAATCACTGAAGGAATATATGAAGATGCTGAGCATCAAGTCAGTCTATTTCACCATTTACTAGCAACAATCCTCCTGGAACTTTTCCTTCAACTGCAATCTACCTAAATCTTTTTCTTCGAGTGTGGTCTGGTTGGAGATGAATATTTATCAAGCTGTACAACAATAAAAAAATTTCCATAGAGAAACAGACATGTTGAATGCATTGAGAATATTCTTAGTGTCATGCTGAAACTCTATATTCAGATTATTATTTTTTGGTCGTGTCAGGAGCGACTTGAGAAACTGCAAGTTGCTTCTGGTGTGAGAGAACTGGCCATCTGCAAGGACATTGCCCAGGGGACGCCTGGATGATTTGATGTTTTTATCATCCTTGTGGGAGGCTTCTCGCATGTCCCCGCATGAGGAGCTGGAGTTGATAGAGGGAGCTCATCCGCCTCTTCCCGGATTCGATTACAATAAGGAACCAGGACACGGATGGGTCTGTGGTCCATGGAAACTTCAAAATGGTGGATAAGATAAAAGAGCTTGCTATTCTTAAACATGATCTTAAATTGTTTTTTAACATAGTGCCAAATTTGTAAACAGACATACTTCAATGATTGACTCTTTGAAATGTATAGACTAGGTTTCATTTCTAAAATTTTGTTAGGTGTGCTACAAATAACAAGACTGGAACTCTGAGCACTAGGACTAAGCTCCAGTGTAAACAATTAGAATAATTATTATAATTGTGTTTTAATCTTTGTGTTGTGTATTTTCATATGCATTTTATAGAAATAGATGTTAATATGGGTATTTAGAATATTATTTAGGATGCTATCTGTTTTTAGCTGTTTATCTATGTTGTAACCCATTTTAAGCCATTAGGAAAGGAGAGGAAGAAATGTATTATTATTACTACTAGTAGTACTATTACTATTATTACCCAAAAATATATATTTGCACAAATTAACTGTTCAAAATTTACACAATCTGTTTTAAAAATGTTTTAAACCTATTGTAATATCTCCTGAGACTGTTTGTGAAAAAAAATTAAAAACATCCCAGGTTGGGGGAGAAAGGTATACTAATACTTGTTTATCATCATCACCACCACGATTGGGAGCTTAAGGTAAAGATAAAGATTTTCCCTTGACATTAAGTCTAGTCATGTCTGACTCTGAAGGGGTGGTACTCATCTCAATTTCTAAGCCAAAGAGCCAGCATTATTCATAGACACCTCCAAGGTCATATGGCCGGCATGACAGCATGGGGCGCCATTACCTTCCCGCTGGAGCAGTACCTATTAATCTATTCACATTTGCATGTTTTCAAACTGCTAGATTGACAGAAGCTGGGACTAACGGTGGGAGCTCACCTTGCTCCCCGGATTCAAACTGCCGACCTTTTGGTGAGCAAGTTCAGCAGCTCAGTGGTTTAACCCGCTGTGCCACCAGGAGCTCTAATTGGGAGATTAACTTCCCAATATCTTTTTTTAAAAATCCATTCTTTATCACAGAGGCAGTGCATTATAGCTCTTCAGATGTTTCTTAACTGTGGTCCCCATCAACCTTTGCTAGCATAGCAGATGAAACGAGATAGGAATTGATGTCCAAAAACAGTTGGAGGGCAGTTGCCAAACTCTTTTTTCTGATGTAATCTAAATGCAATTTACTCCTGAGTAAACGTTTGTGCCATAAGGCTGCAATACGTTGTTGTAGACTAGTGATTAGCCTTTATAGGCAGTTGCCTTTCTGTAGACTTAGAAGTCCAACTTCATCTTATTTGATGTGCTACATACACCTCTAACACATCCTGGGGCTCTTTCATATCATACAGTTATAGCTATGAATCCACTTATGTAGAACCCAGGATTCCATAGGATGTCACCATGGCAGTCAAAGTAGAAACGTAGCATTATAATTTTGTAATGTGAAATGGCCTCAAATAAAAGTGAGGCATCAAGCTGACAAATAAACATTACATTGGTGGCATGTAATAGCAGTAAGAGTACAGATAATAAATGACAGAACAATAATAGTTTGACTTAACAATGGGAGAATCACACTGGATTTAATGAGGCAGTGGTTCAAAATTTCACCCAAATTATCTAAACTTTTTTTGTCTTCTCTTTTGTAGGATTGTGGTGCCCTTCATAAAGTCTTGCTTGATGGTCTTGCCCTCTATACAGGCTGTGTGGAAGAGCATGACAGACCTTTTGGTTGCACCTGTATGTCGCAGCATAGGAAAGTGTTTCTCTGGAATCAACATACGCCTGGACCAAGAGTGAACATCTGGGATTTGACACGTCTCTGGTTTTCAGTCAAGTTAAACTTCCTTGCTGACATAGCATGAAGATACTTACGCGTTCATTCCAAAACTACTACTGTTTAAATGGCTGGCTGCTTGGTTTTTCTTCAGTTGGGTTGCACTGTTTTCTAGAAAGGAAGCTTGCTCTGGGGATGGGGAGGAATTGTTTGAGAAAAACTAGTCTTATTTCTAACTGAAAAATAACAAGCTATGTTTGGCAACACTATATTTAATGGTACTATACATTGTCTGGTTCTCACAGATGAGTCTTTGAGGACATTCATGAATGAACACATCAAATATGATTGCTTAGAAATAGCCCTTGTAGTATAAAGCTACAATGAAGTATGATTATGGGAACTTGCCGTGTGCTGTATTCAGATCTGTTGAGGTGCCCAGTTTTCTTGAAAGTTATGCCAGCATTTTATCTATATCTCAATGCTACAGATATATGAATGCATCCAAAATACAGATGATCACTATTGGGAACCTTCCTCATGTGAATTCTAGTGGTCATCTTTACCACTTCCCTCAGTAGCTGGTTTCCTATATAATCCTATCAGCTTGTTGCATAACCTATTAGTATTTTTATGCACCTGGTATCTACAGTGTTCCAAATCCAGTGATTTCTAATTGCAAGGGATCCTCAGAATACTAGGTTCAGTCCATGGGCAGCTATAATGTAGTCAATACTGGGAGCTAAGGACTTGAGCTATCGCTAAGATTTGAGCAGGAACCTAGAATGCATTTGTTGCATTGATCAGTCATGGGTGGAAACTTAGGCTGATATTTTGAGTAGGCCTAACTAATCCAGAAGTTTCATGCTGCTTGCCAATCACAGAGACCAATGCTGTGTTTCCCTTCTTCATTCCCATGTTGAACGAAGGCTATAGGACAATGGTGGTCAACTGTGTGGGGAAAGGAGACAATTATCCCCATATTATGCATGAGCAGCACACACACTACACACAGGAAGCCCTAATATCTCCTACTTTCTGCAATTCTTCTCAAAATGGCAACAGGAATGACATCACAAATTCTGACATCATTTTGAGATGGAAGGTAGTACAAGTTTCTAGGGTGACTATGAAAATGAGGTGTGATATTTCTGTATGTTTTCATGCCTTTGGGAGGAGGCTTTGCTTTGGGAGCAAAACATGCCTGGAAATTTGGGGGACTTTGGTGGGGGTCCAAGGGCCACAAGAACAGGGTCTAGGAAATACGCTTTGCCACCCTTCTATGGGACCTATGCACAGATATTCCTGGGTGGTATATTAGACTAAGGTCCAGTCCTAACTTGAAGAGTTCTTGTTCATGCCCTGGAATTTCTGGCAAAAAAGGAGCTCAATCATACAAGCATTAAGCACATGTGAAGATCTCCTCCTAAAAGAAGAATGCGTGTAACCTCTTGCCTTTCATCCAAGTGAACAGAGAAGCCTTTTCAGTAACCACATGGTTTTTGGCAGGACGTAGGGTGACAAATCACCACCCCTCAGGCACTTAACATAACTCTGGCCCATCATTGCTTCATTCAGAAAGGTGTGTTTCTTTCAGGCATCTTTTTGATCTTCATTCTGTATCTTGAAACTGTATGCATTTCTGCGAGGGATATGAATGCAGAGTTCCACTACGCAAAACTGTGTGAAGAAAAGGAAACCATTAAATACTTCTCTCTTTTGCATTTCAAATTCTTAAGAACCTGAAGCATGAAAAAAAAAACAATGTTACTACAAAACAAGGTGTTGGTATGGAGCAAGAAGTAAATCCTGAGGCTTTATTTAATGAGCCCTCTGACTTGGTTGTATATACATTTTTTTCAATGTAAATGAACTTGGATGGGTTACTTTGAAGCATGGATTATTTTTACACTCTTGGTGTACTTGGCAAGTGGGCTGCTCCAGCTAATTTCCCACTCAGATGATCTGACACTGGGCATGGAAAAGCTGTACCATGAGCATAAGCCTTCGAAGTTTTCTACACAGGAAGAAATTAGGATCTTTTGAATTATGGTATATACTCATGTATAAATGGACAGTAAACTGAGGGTAGATTTTGGTGCCAAAATTATTTATATAACCCATGGATAAACCAAGAGTTGTTATGCAGAGAGGGGAAAGCACCAACTGCCCAAGTCACTGCCATCATTTTCTTACCCAGGATTTCTCAAAAAGGCCAGAAGTAGCACCACAGTGGAGATAGTAAAAGAGGCCAGTTCTTCCTTTCAGTTCTCTTGGGACAGAATGAGCTCTCGTCTTTCACACTTGAACCAGAGGTGATGGTTCCTTCTTTGATGAAATACAATGCTAACTTTGGCCTGAGTTTTGGGGGTTTGTTTTTTTATTAAAGTTTCTAGACATGTACATGAGAATATACGGTATCAACGATTCAGTGCAAGATCCTTTTGTTTCTCAGAGGCTACAATATCCCATGTGGAATTATATGCTATCAGTGTCTGATCTCAGCAGATCTTCTACAGGTGAATAGCCTCTGTTCCTGGTATATGCAGTTTCCATGTGCAAAGGATTTGTCATTTATGGGAACTTGCGTATCTACAGAGTAAGGACAATGAATGTCAAAATGACTGGCTTTTGTTGTTTAGATCAGTGTTTCTTGGGCTACTGGTTTATGGGATCAGCAGTCCCTTATCTCCCGCAATAGGGGATCAGCAGTTCCCCAGCCCCCGCAAAATGCCATTGAGTTCCTTTGGCCAGAGACCCGCACCAGTCCAAGGACCGCTCCTTTGAGTGGCACTGATCTAGATTACGCAAAACATCAACTGAAAGGCCTGTTTGTATTTCAAAGCAAAGCAAAGCAAACCAAAGACATTGTACAATTCCAATTTAATATCTAAATATTGTAATACAGCTATGCAACAGATTCCAAATTCAGTATGTATGTATTTTTAAAATTATTTTTTATTAAAATTGTCTACATAATTTTCAGAATTTTATGCTTTTTGTACGTGCCATAATCACATAAATAAAACTTTTGCTGACACTTTCAGCTGGTGGGATGCTCTCTTATAAAAAGAAACAGGAACATTAGGAAATCCTGCTCTCGAGTCTCGCAACTATATTAGTTTAGAAACTAACACAAAAATACAACTTTCCATACATTTAAAAAAGGTTTGTGGCTTTAATAGGCATGTCATGAAACATGCATTTGGAACTTCCATTCATTTGATCCTTCTGATTTAAGTTAGTACTTTTTTGTCAAAGATGTCAGTGTGCTGCAAATTAAAATACTTTCTTCAAAGTGTTACCACTTTAACTGAATATTTTTTTAGATTTTTTTCAAATATGAAAACAAAAAGATAATTCCAAGGACTCGGTCCAGAGTTATGTATTAATAAGTCATGTTTCTATTTGACTTCTCTGAATCAAGTCAGAAACCTTGCTCCTGAATTCAAGGATGTGAACAATCTATCAAAGGACAAAATAATAAAGTAAGATTCTTGGTGTGTTATTATTGTTGCAGTTGTTTTTAATGCAGAGAGTTGCTATCTTTGAGAGAGATTGATCAGTTTTTTGCTTGTAAAATTAAATAAATTGGAATATATTTAGGATGCCAGATTTGCAATTATATATGCACCTGCCTGGAAATACATTTGAACTCAGAAGAGCTTCCTTCTTAATAAATATGCAAGGTCTATGACACGTAATTGCATAAATTTCAGAGGATTTAATTGTGCACACAGTTCACATTAGTAAATAAAACTGTGTACCTAAATAAGTTAACATCAATGTGTTCAAAACAGGCTTGAAATCTTGATCTTTGTTCCCTATTTCTTGTAACAGTAGAAGCACTGCTTTCTAACACTGGAATTCTTTTGCAATGAACTGCAAAATCCTTAGGAGCATTGTTGGATGTTACACACTTCACTGGAAACTAAGCTGGTCTGCTGAGTTCAGAAATATTCCAAGCCATGTTTGGAGTGTTAGATTATGACAGCAGAAATGCATTTCACGGTGTACAGTATTTTAAACACAATAAAGAAAACTTAGTAGGGTTGTGCATTTCGGCTGAACCTCGATCCGTTTCTACTGGCTGGAGTCTGGTAGACCTCCGTATCCATTTTCGCGCACCTCCCAAAAATGGGCGGGTAGCCGAATAGCCAGTTTTGGCCCACAGCCGAAAAATGCAGCTAGATCCAGCCCATTGGTGGCAACGGGGAACTTACAAGGCACCTCTTTCCATTCCTAGGACCCTTTCCTTTTTTCCCTTCAAGGAAGCTGGGGTTTAAGAATGCACCCTTCCTGGGACCCTTTCCTTTTTTCCTCTCAAGGGAAACTGGGTTTCAGCAACAAGATTAAGGAAGCAGACATAGCTTGCATAATACACATCACAACATGCACATATCTGCTGATGATCAAGCACAGAAACTGTTTTTAAGGCATTTGTTCATGGCAGGGGTCCTCAAACTTTTAAAGCAGAGGGCTGATTCACCGTCCCACAGACTGTTGTGAGGACGGGCTATAGTTTGAAAAAACATGAATGAATTCCTATCTGCACTGCACATATCTTATTTCTAGTACAAAAAAAATGAAATAACAAAGCAGTATTTAAAATTAAGAACAAATTGAACCAGAATAAACTTACCAGTAATTCAATGGCTGATGATATAGTCAAGTTAATTAGGATTCTTGTTATGTACCTTTGAGTTGTTTCAGATTTAGGGTAACCCTAAGTCTAAAGTTTAGGGTGGAGGCAAGAGAAACGACCTTGGAGGGCCACAATCGGTACATGGGCCTTCGTTTGGATACCCCTGATCTATGACCTCTCAACTCACTAGAGCCACCAATTCAAATTATGATACGAAAAGAAAGCTAATGGGGTGGGTGTCCCTCTAAAAGCAATGCATTGTGGTGCATGATTTTGCACTCTATCACAAACCATGCATTTTAAAACTTGCCTTTGAAAATTAATACAAATGCATTTGTCTCGTGTCTGCAATGTGCATCTGAAATGATGAACACTTTGAATTTTTTTCTTCTATCTAAGATATGACATTGCTTTTTATAGGAATGGGGAATGTGTTCTCTTCCAGATGTTACTAATTCCTATTGTCCTTCACTGCTGACTGTGATGTCTATAATGGGTGAGATCTGCAGTTCAGTGACATCTGGAGAACCTTACGTTCCCAGTCCTTATAGCAAAAGTTCTTATCACAGTGAAAAACGGATCCATTCTGCACCAGAGAAAAGCAGACTCCAGACTTGCACAATCCATTTCTCTCTCTTTTTTTCAAATAGAACCCCAATGAGGTCTACCCACTGGAATGTAGTGCAAAATGGTGACTCAGAAGGTCAGTTAAATCTGGCATCCCAGGAGACATACACTGAGAGGAACTGTGTACACAAACAGAAATCTGCATCTGAGTTACTATAGGGATATTGACAGACTTTTTTAGACCTAAAACTTGGTGTTGAGAAACCTCTTGGTGACCTATCGCAAATCATTCAGAGATTTACCACTGGTTCCTGTATCCACTTGTGCCAGCATCCTGCTCTACAAAGTAGAAACCAAACTAGGAAGAGAGGCAGACAAGTAGATAGAGATCTAATCACCCAATGACCTTCATGGATGACCTTGAACCAGTCACCATCTTACAGAATATTCTCTCCCTATGGGGCTGTTGTAAAGATAATCTAGAAGATAGTGGATGGCGCACTATTTGGGGCAAAGAAAAATAATGCAGTACTCCAGAGCAACTGCTGGGCTACCAATCAGAAAGTTAACACCTGTTGAATATGTCCAAGACAGCTAACGCTACCCTAACTAGTGTTTCATCTTGTTAAAAAAATCATTACATGTGTTCAAGTATGCCCACAACAGGACTCTGCCATTTGAAAAGTGTGCAGTATATCTGCTTCTCCTCAATTGGCACCTGGCATCATATGTAGGTGCATTTTTTTCCTGTGGCAGGAGAAACTTGAGAAACTGCAAGTCGCTTCTGGTGTGAGAGAATTGGCCATCTGCAAGAATGTTGTCCAAGGGACACCTGGATATTTCACCATCCTGTGGGAGGATTCTCTCATGTCCCTGCATGAGAAGCTGGAAATGACAGACAGGAGCTCATCCCACTCCCTGGATTTGAACTGCCAATGTTTCTGTCAGTAGTTCAGTTGGCACAAGGATTTAACCCATTGCACCACTGGGGGCTCCATGTAGGTGAATGAATATATGCTACACTGTGTCAGTTTCCAAAACACGTTGGAATCTAAAGGTTCAATGGATGAAAAAATAAAAATAAAAACAGCAACTAGAGACTAAAGCAAATAAAAAGGGCAATATATATTCTTAGCAATATCTAAAGTCTGTTTTCAAGGACACACCAGGTATGTAGTGCTTCTCCTTCAGTAAATAAATCACTGAGAAGTGTGGAAACATTTTTTTTGAAAAAACTAACTTTGCAAACATCTAGTTCTAGAATAGACTGCCTAAATACCCCTGAAATGTATTCATCTAATCCTGAAAACCAAGCAAGGTTAGCTCTATTTAGATGGGTACTTAATAATTAGTACTATTTAATACTTAGATGAATATCAGTCAGGTGTTTGAGACTATATTTCAGAGGATGGCCTTGGCAAAACCACCTCTGAGTATTCTCTGCCCTAAAAAACCCATGAAATTCAAGAGTTGCCAGGCCTGTAGCCCGGGGGGGGGGGGGGGGGGGGGGGGGGTTGTTTTTGTTTGTTTGTTTGTTTTTTGCTATTTTTCGCCTTACTAACTTTGCATATCTTGTATCTTATACCTTTTACGGAGCAATAAAGGTCTTTGGACTGTATTAAAATGTTGTTGTTGTGTTATTGAACTACTCTTCATGATTTGCTAAAAAAAAGTTTCAACCCCCCCCCAAAAAAAAAAAATTCTGGCTACGGCCCTGAGGGTTGCCATCAGTTGGCAAGGGCCCCATATACTTTTACACTAACCATTTAATGCAGCTTCAATATGACCTGAAACTGTGGCAGCTATAAAATGTATATCACCAATGCACCGTACAGCAGTGATTAAAAGGGTTATAGTGCATTTAAGAAAGACCCAGGAAAGTGCAAGATAAGCCCTTTAATGTGTTTCAGCAGATTCCAATACATACCAGATCACAGGCTGAAATTGATTCTGCAAGATATGAAGCTCATTTTAGACACCTGCCCTCGCTCATGCACTTTGCATGAGAATTCGGAAAGCAGGGGCAAGGGGCCTACTAAAAAATATCCGAAGAGCATGGCTGCCTAGCAGGGGACTAACTGACCCCCTGGGAGGGGTAACTAACCCCTACAATCCCCCTTTTTTTTCCACCTCCTATGCACATCTTCCTGGAAATGGGGGGGGGGGGCAGATGTTTGAACCTAGGTTCTGTGATTAATGTAATCAGCTTCCTGGCCTCAAACCAGTTCCAGACCTATCTATCTAATCACCCACACAACAAAACCTGTTGCTCCCAAATCGATTCCAGACTGACCTAAATCCCAAGGTGACCTGAGGACATACTCACCTTTAAGATATTCCAGCCAATACATTTGGACATAAAACTGTCATTTCCTCCAGTGAGTATTATTTGAACATAAATTTGGATGTTGTTTTATTTTTCTGTATGGCCAAAATAATTCAATTTGTATTTGTTTCCATAAGATTGGATCTTTCATAACAAAAAAGTGTGCTGGGACTTTATAGTAAAGGTTAAGGTTAAGGTTTTCCCCTGACATTGAGTCTAGTTGTGTCCGACTCTGGGGGTTGGTGCTCACCTCCATTTCTAAGTCCGTAGACACCTTCAAGGTCATGTGGCTGGCTGTATGGAGCACCATTACCTTCCCGTCAGAGCAGTACTTATTGATCTACTCACATTTGCATGTTTTCAAACTGCTAGGTTGGCAAAAGCTGGGGCTAACAGTGGGAGCTCACGCCGCTCCCTGAATTCCAACCTGTGACCTTTTAGTCAGCAACTTCAGCATCTCAGTAGTTTAATCCACTGCACCACCAGATGACTTTATAGTTTGCAGAAAAGAAGATTTAATCTCATTGTAAGTTTGCTCATTCTGTGCTGCTCAACTCACCATAGCAAAGGCATCAGTTGATTTGTCAAACGTTTTCACCAGTACAACGATAGCTGCATTTCTGTAAGTGAGTACAGGATTGATTTTGCAGGACAGGCAATAATGTAGTTTACACAGAAATGGTTTCAGAGGTGAGTCACTTCCTGGTTATAGTTTATTCATATTTCCCAATCGAACTTAAGCAGCTTATCCTGTCTCTCTCTCTCTCCTGATACCATCATCCTTCATTGTCTGCTCTGGAATGCATCGCCCTGAATATGTAAACTCTGCCACCATCAAATATTCCTTTTTGCAGTTCCATGTGGTGCACACAGAACAGAATGTGCCAGTTTTGGACCAAATCTTAACATTAATAGAGGAATGGGGCCTGGCCCAAGTTCTTCTGATACCAGGGTCAGGAGTGAAGATGGC